GAAAGGAAGCTGGGCTCACCTGGCTAATGTAGCTCAGATGTTGGAGATGCTGATCTCTCATTGCACCATCTACTATTAGTGAAGTTACTAAGGCATTGAGTGCCTCTGAAAAAAATTAGCCATTGGGTGGTTCCAATTAAATCCAAAAACCAGAGGCATTAAAAATGAATGGTCTCCTTCCAACAATGGAAACAAGGGGACTTCCAAGACGCCCCAAGCCCAGCTTCCCTGAATTCAAGGAGAGCACTTCCCACAGCAGAGACAGCATGAGGCCAGCTGACTAGAACTTGAACAAGCAGAAGAGAAAAGCAGAATTGCGCTATACACAAAATGTCCACGGAGACCTCCTTCCATCAAGCTCAGAGCAGCAATGCTGGGGTCCAGCCCCACACCGCAGCCAGGGCATGCAGTGAGAATGCAGGCACAGCCTCCATGCTCAGTGCCATGGAACAAGGCTGCTGGTGCTGCACAGCTCACTCCCAGTGCCTTTCTCACAGGTTCCAGCACTGCGCCGAGGCGGGTTGGACAACTCTGAGGATTTGCAGGAATCCTTCAGACAAGCAGAATCTGTCTGAGTCACACGCATGAGGAGCGATGCCAAGGGTGGCTCATCCACTGGAAAAAAAAAAAAAAAAAAAAAAAAAGAGGAAAGAGAGAAAGAAATGCTAATGGAGCAATAGCAAGTTATGAAAAGCCACAAGAATTAACAGCTCATGGGCTGGAGAGAAGGAAAGAAAAAAGTCTCTCTCCTATGCTCACATTGCTAAATCCTTACACCTCTCATATGTGCCAGGAACCACCTTACCCCATCAGCTTTGAGAGGGTCTGGAGGGGCTCTGGATCCAAGGCTGTGCTTGAGGTCTGCAGAGGAAAGGAGCTGTCAAGTTGAAACTATCTGCTTCTGCTGCTCTGAAATTAGCTAGAATGCATTCCCTTTGATGGTCCTGCAAAATGAAACAGTAAAAACCAAACCAGATGGAAATGGAAAAGAAAAGCTCTAAAAAAAGGGAAGCAAAATCCCAAAATGAGTGACTCAGTGCGGGAAATGGGCTTCTAAAGAGAGAACTGCAAGCATCTAAAGGAGACCTAAGAAAAGCCCACAGAACTGACGCTCCCTGCTCCTGCCCTCCCTGCTACCAGAGCAAAGGGCACCAGAAATGCACAGATGGACTTCCAGAGCAAGCCACATGGAGAAGAGACAGACTGAAAGCACTGCAGAAACTCCAGGGAACAGTGCAGAGGCTCCACTCACGCAGGCATGAGTAGAACTACAGCCACAGCCTAGCTTGGAGCTCCCAAAGCTCTCAAAGCCAGCAGCTGACCTGCAGGGTCAGGGAGCACTTGCACAGTACCACAGGGTGATCAGCAGCAGCTGGGACACCGAACCTCCCTTTCTAGGGCTATACTAGGCACGGAGCGACATGTCATGCACTTGAGGACATGCTGTTCAGCTGATCAGTCCCATATGGAATGCTGTCCTTTCTCTTGATGCTCCCATGAGCCTTTATTCCCATTTCTGACCCTTCTCATGCAGCCGCCAAGACAGTCAGTAGTTTATAAAGCCTTTGCTTGGCCACAAAGGATGTTTATTTTGCGTTCTCAGTGGTCGTGCTGTGCCATTTGCTCTCTCTGGCTCCCTTCCCTCCAGCCCATGTCTCCTTCTGCTGCTGCTGTTTTCCCCATTACTGCTAGCAGAGCCAGGCCAGGCACTGGTTGCTCTCTGGGCTGCTCTGCACTGCTCCCCTCTGTAGCCCATCCTGCCTCGAAGCAGACACTGCCCTAATTGCAGTCCAATTCCTAGACAGAGATCACTCACTCCCAAGAGGGGGGAGAGGACTACAAGCAAAATGCTTGGGACACGACTCACACCAGACAAATCTTATCACATGGAGAACCAAACACACTGCCATCCGGCATGCAACAGACTTGGCAAGCCAGGAGATTTGATAAGAACCATGAGAGGAATGGTGGCTGCAGCTGTGACATAAGCTCCCACCACCACACAGCTTATCACTGCTGTCAAGATGGGACATGCATCAGTGTCTGCTGCTGCACAACAGCAGGGAGAAGCTAGTGGAAACCTGCTCTCTGGTCCTGACCATGCTTGTAGCACCGCTTACAACACTGTCCCTGAGGAACATCTCTATTACTCACTATGTCTCATTAGGAAAGGGGTGTGAATCTTTCCTCAATGGCTCTGATGGAGACACAGCTCCCCAAGGAACCAGCTCAGGGAGAGGTGGAGAGAGCCCAGTGCCCACCAGCAAATGGATGGGTGATGATCACCGGAGCTAAGAGGTCTCTGAGCCCAAAGATGAGTCCAAAGTCAAGGCATGGCCTAAATGCAGGCTGCTGTGAACCAGTTACTTACTGGATTCCCTTCTGTTTTTCCAGGGTTTCAGGCTGGATATCACGAAAAAGTTCTTCAGCACAGGGTTGGAACAGGCTCCCCAGGGCAGTGGTCATGGCCTTGAGCTTGCCAGAGCTATAGAAGCACCTTGATGGGGCTCTCAGACATAGGGTCTGATTTGATTGAGTGGTCCTGTGTAGAACCAGGAATTAGACTTGATGATCCTTATGGGTCCTTTCCAACTCAGAGTATTCCATCGTTCTATGGTCCCTGCCTCATCACCACACTGCCTCTACCACCCCACAAGGCAGGAGGTCAAACATGGCCAGCAGCCCACAACATGAAGCCTGGGACACTGAGTCACACTGCATGCTCAGCCCTGCCCAGCAAACAGAACCTTTCCCAGTTTCAGCCAAGCACACGCTCACATCCTACCCACTCACCTTCAACCTGTTTTGTGACATTTTCCCTCTTCAGAGAGGAAAAGTGGAAATGGGAGGATTAGCAGGTAAACAAAGGCTCTGGCTGCCTCCAGCAGCTGCTGCAGGGGACTGCACTTCAAAAGTGAGATCCAGGCTTACAGGACTGAGCTGTTTTGCTCCTGGCACTGAGAGCGAGGAGCAGGGCACAGCTCTCAACCACAGAGTTAAACACTCGATGACTCTTTGAGTCTTCTGCGAACAGTACCCAGCCCACACTATCCCGAAGTTGTCCCTAGGGACAAAATCTGCCACACCATGCTAGAGTGCACAAAAGGCTGGGATGATCCCTGAGAAATACACACACAACTCTATACCTCCACCTGGGTTTCAGTTCCCTTTTTATTTCCAGCCCTATGCATGCTGTGCCCTGGCACTGGATCCACAGCAAGCAGAGAAGGATGAATGGCCAGGCTGGAGGCAGAGCCACTGCTCCTGCTATTTCGCAGCCCAGATTCGAGCCAGCACTAAAGTTTCCAAGGGAACCTGAGGGAGTTGCAGCCAAACCAGGACTGCTGGCAACATGGGATTTTCAATTCCAGGCCAAAAAGTGTCTATTCAGCTTACCCAGCTGCCAAGCACAAGCTAAGAGCACGTGCACAAGGCACTGGGGCACCCTGCAATGGGAATGCCTCCTCCCCATGCTGTGTCGGGAGGAGAGACTGCGCAAGGCTGCATCTCTGAGCTCCCCAGGCTGCTGCAGAACTACACATCCCCAGTAAATGCTTTGCTAAGTCACACACTTCATCGTCACCGCAATGCAGGGATGTGTTTGTCAGTCGGGCTCAGGGATTTGCTGCATCTGGGCTCCCCGATCCACTCCAGGATTCCTCGTATCATGTCACTGGTCTCTGCTCAAACCATGCTTGGCTGCCTGTGAAAAATGCCTCAGCAATAGGATTTTTCTTCTTTTCCCTCCTGCTGTTCTTTAAAGCCAAACTGTCCTTCTGCAAAATCCAGCCTCTGAAGGCATTTTTTTTCCAATACTTGTGTTTTGTAACTACATCTCTTCAATCCACTATAGATAAGACAGCAAGTCGGGGCTGGAGTGAGAACAGGTTAAACTGCTCACCTGCTCGAGTGCCTCTCTCAACACTTCAATCCCAAGTGCGTGTTATCAGTAGAGTATCTTTTCCAGGTAGAAGCAGTGCAGAGAATGAGTTCATCAATGCTCCCCCTGGTGGTCCTCACGGACTTCCAGACTCTTCTGACTGTGACTTGGCAGATCTTCCTCTCCCTCTGTTAGTTTTGGCTTACCCAGATGTATAATACATCAGCCCCCAGGCCGCAGCCAGGAATTCGGCTTCTATCCCTACTCCTAACAACAGTAGGAGGTTACCTTCTGCTACCCCCACACTAACAACAGGGGAATCAGAGGCAGCAAACATGGATATGTGTTTCCTTGAGTCTCACTCCAAGCAGAGATCTTCCAAGCAGGTTTTCTATTCCATTCTCCAACACTTTATTTCCTCATTCTCCTCCTGCAGTTGTCTTTGATCACTGGAGACAGGCCTTCCTGCAGCAAGAAGGGAAACGCTGAAAGAAATGAAAGGGAATGCTCCTGGTGATGACTGCATACCACAAGAAAATGCTGCATATGCAAGGGAAGAAGAAACTTCCTACTAGATGAAAGGAGCACAAACCTGCTCTCCCTCTGGAGAAGTATGCAGCCCTTTACTTGGCTCTATAATTGCAACACTCCACTGGGAAAGGTGTTTGGAAGTATTGCAAAAGGAAGATGAGCAAAGGTCAGGTGTAGCAGGGCTACGTATCCAGAGGATCATGTAAGAGGTTCATGGTTTGAGGAGGTGTTAGCAGAGGAGCTGCGAGCCTTGTTTCAAGGGCAAGTAGCCAAAAACACAGGAACTGCCCACTGCATCAGCTGGAGTAGGGAAATCAGAAAAGGGAAGAAAAGACCACAATATTGTCAGGAAAGTGAAAGGTCTCTGGCAGAAAGTTTTGCCACAGAAAGAGGAATGTGGCAGGGGAAAGGGAACACCAGTGGCCACAGCCAACAGGAAACACATCATACCTCTATCTCTTGCACACGAGCACATCTGCAAACATTGCACGGTTCACAGAGACACACTGGAGAGAAACCAAACAAATGTGGGAGTGCAGCGAAGGTGACAGAGCGGTCTGGATGCAGCCAGCCAGCTGGGGAGGCCTACCTGCCTGGAAAAACCCTTGCACAGCACACCCAGACATTCCTGCAGCCCTCCCCGGCGTTGTTTGTGCCATGATTCACCACGAATGTGGCTTCAAGCCACGGCTGAGCAGCACCAGCCAAGCTCCTGCCTGCTGCTGCCCTCTGTGGGACAGCACAGCTCCCAGCCCAAGCTGCTGTTTCCCTGGCACGCAAACTACCCGGGCCTCCGGCTTGTGCGTAATCACTTTCCTCTGCAACTGGCTACACGCTAATTATAGTTCCAGTATTTTCCTTCTGGATCAGCGTTAATTACAATACGGAGCGTCTCGCTCCATTAAGCTTTAAATCTTGTTTGGGATTCCAGCTGTCAGTAAAAATGAGTTGGGGAAGGTTTTTCTCAGGATGCATCAAGCTTGGTTATGGGGAGCATAATTTTGAAAATCTTTTTCATAGAACCACAGAATGGCTTGGATTGAAAGGGACCTCAGAGATCATCCAGTCCCACCCCGTGCTGTGGGCAGGGCTGCCACCCACCAGCTCAGGCTGCCCAGAGCCCCATCCAACCTGTCCTTGAACCTCCAGAGATGGGGCACCCACAGCTCTCTGTGCAGCCTGTGCCACTGCCTCACTGCCCTCTCAGTAAAAAACTTCCCCCCAGCCTGTCATCTGAGTTGCACAGAAAGCAGATGCAACCAAAGGGGGAGGAGCCTGCCAAGTTTCTAAGCAATAAAAGAAAGGCCTGAAATGCTGCAGCTAACGTCAGCGCTATGGATGAGTTCATTTGCCATTGTTTGCAGCCAGCCGAAAAGAGGCGCAGCCTGCCATTCGCTTTATGCTTGCTTAAAACTGCTTGATGCCAAAGTGAGGAAAATAAACATTCAAAGAGTGAAACCTGAGCCAAAGACTGAAACAGCAGACTGAAAAACCACTGCTGCAGTCTCTTTCTGGGTCAGGGAGTGGAGGCACGCACCTTCTGCTCAGATCACACGTGACCTACAGTAGCAGTAGTGAGGTCCTGGACTCCTGCAAATGACTTCAAGATTCTCAGAAAAATGGAAGGGGTAGCAGTAATAGGCAGAAGTGACTCATAGGACCGAAATAACTCACGTAAAACGTGCCTGAACACAGCAAGGGATGTGGCAATTTGCTAAGAAAGGCCCTGAAGAAAGCTTTGTGAGGCAAGGTGGTAGGAGTTAAAAGAAGAACTGCATTCAGGCACCAGAAGGTAGTTTTTAATGGCCAAGTTTCCCCTGAAAACAATGGCTGCCCATCCGGAAAAGCCATCAGGGTGACACTGGGGCATAGCCTCGTGGGATCTGTTCTGTAAGTGATGTAAAGCAACGCACAGGGAAGGCACGGTGCTCTCTCCAAGACCACAGGAAGGCAGAGAAAACAGCCCTTATTAAGTGCCATCGTTTGTATTAAGAGCCACAAAGAGAAAGGAGAGAGCTGTTTACTATTCCTGGAGAAAGCTTTTTCCAAGCAGGAAAAAGGCATAAGATTAACAACTATTTAAAAACAACTGCTTGAGAAGCGCAGAAGCAGGCTTGATATCATTATAACGCCTTTAAAACACCAAGAGCTGCCGCCGCCATTTTAAAAGCCTGAGCTCCGCTCCCCTCAGAGCGGACGGGCACTCAAGGCGCATGCGCTGGCGCTGGCCTGCTCTTGTCCTTTTAAAGGACACGCAGCTCCCTCACGAGGCGGAAGTCGTTTGCGGCCCCACCAGAAGTAGCTTCACTTGACAACAGAAGGGCTTCTTCCGGTTGGGCTCCGTGCGACGGTTGGTTTCCGGCTCTATTCATTCTCTATACTCTACTCTTGGAGGCCTTCTTCTCGCGTCTCGCTTTCTCCACCACGCGATGAACTCTATGGTAACTTGGGCGGTGTCACGGCAGGGGGCGCGCGGAGTGGCGCTCTGCACTTCCGACTTCCGGCACTCTATGGTGGAGCCGGCGGCGCTCTAGAGGTTTCTGGGCTCTCTCGATGGGCCGGTGGCGGCCCCGCTGAGGAGCGGTGGCGGCCCCGCCATGGAGGCCGAGACGTTGGAGGCGCGCATCAGTGAGTGCTGGCAGGGGCAGATGGGGGGGAGGGCGGGGGTTGAGGGGACCCGCCTCACTCGCACTGCCCTTCTGCCGCCCGTAGACAAGGCCACCAACCCGCTGAACAAGGAGCTGGACTGGGATGGCATCAATGCGTTCTGCGAGCAGCTCAACAAGGAGCTGGAGGGGTGAGTGGGCCTCAGGCCTCGCCGTCCGGTGCCTTGTCAGCGCCTTCGGCTTGTGACATGCTCTCCTGCCCCAGATAGCAGCACGGCTAGCTGGGCCTTTCCTCAATCACTATGCAGCTTTCCTCTCCCTCCAGCCCTCCGCTCGCCACCCGGCTCCTTGCTCACAAGATCCAGTCCCCGCAGGAATGGGAGGCCATTCAAGCCCTCACGGTAAGGCAGGACGTGATGGAGGGCAGTGGGGGTGTCCCACCAAAAGCTTGTGGTGCTCTGGGAAAACTCCGATGCGTGGGGTGGGAGAGAGGTGGCAGTGGCAGCACCCAGTGGAGGGTGACAGGTGGGGGAGACCTTGTGCTTAGGGAGGAGCATGGGAGTCATTGGGAAGTTTTCTGTTCCTCTTATCACGTGGTGAACCGTGGGGTTTGAGAGCTCTCTGCCTTAGGATGGCTCTGCTGCACTAAGGGTGTCCTCTTCCATGATGATCAGAGGGCTGGAGCACCTCTCCTATGAAGACAGGCTGAGGGAGCTGGGTTTCTTCAGCCTGAAGAAGAGAATGTTCCAGGGAGGCCTCACTGTGGCCTTCCAGTACTTGAAGGGAGCTCATAAGCAGGAGGGGGACTGACTTTTTACATGATTTCAATAGTGATAGAACAGTAATGAATGGCTTTAAAGTAAAAAAACGAGATATTTAGGTTGATCTGAGGTGGAAGATCTTTATTCGGAGGGTGGTGAGGCAACAGCACAGGTTGTCCAAGGAAGCTATGGATGGCCTATCCCTGGAGATGCTGTAAGGAAAGCCTCAGGTTCTGTGCCTGGCGAGAAGCCGAATGTTGACCTAGCTCATGGGCTCATCCTCTCCCAGGTGTTGGAGTCCTGCATGAAGAGCTGCGGCAAGCGCTTCCACGATGAGGTGGGCAAGTTCCGCTTCCTTAATGAGCTCATCAAGGTGGTGTCACCAAAGGTGGGTCCCTGGGGATCCTCCTGGAGGTGATGATGGTGGAAAGAGGGCTTTGGGAAGAAGTGGTAGAGCAGAGGGGCCAGAGGTCTTTCGGAGCACAGGAAGCTGAGGGCCAGCTAGATCTGATGCAGCCAGCACTTGTGAGACTTCTGAGCCCATCAGCATGCCTGGAGTCACCTTCGCTGCATTTCTTCTAAGCCTTTTTTGTGCTCGGGAACCTCTCTCAGCTTTGACACTGTGACTCTTACCTTTCCAGGGTATCCCAATCTGCTTGAGACACTGAGGACAAGCCCAGGCCTGTTGGCTGTGGTCTAGCAAGTCCATCTGAAGGACCAGGTCCTTACCTGCTCCTCTGCTGATGCTGCTGTTTCAGCAGCAACGCATCCTGGGCATGCTGTTCCATTCAGCCAGGGCAGTCAGCTCATGATGCCAGCAAGGATGGAGTTAAGGAAAAACAGACTAAATATAACTAAGGAAAACTGGAGGCTGTCAGTCACAGCTTGTGATCTGTGTGGATGAATATCTGAATATCCAGGGACTGCAACAGTATCATTCTGCAGTCGTCTTGCTGGGGTGATCTAGAGGATGTCATCTGCCTTAAGCCACTGGCAGCACATTTGCTGTTTTTACTACCAGCACATAGCAGACCCATGGAATAAGAGTGAAGGGAGACTGCACAATAGTGGGAAAGCTGCATCCAGCAGTGAGGTGTTTGTGGCTTGCCAGCTTGCTATAAAGAGTGTCAGGCACTTTGTGATGCAGGGTGCAGCTGAGGGTGTGCTGGGCCTTGCCCTAGGGACTGTCACCTACAGCCCTTCACCTCACCTCCCAGTCCTGCTGTCAGGAGGGTTGCCTTTCCCAGCAGCTTCTGATAGCAGCATGCTTTCCTTCACAAGGTGATAAAGACCCTCCTGAGCATTTCCACCCATCCATGGGTGTTACTAAGGGTCTGCTGGCCCAGCATTTCTCCCACCTCCTGTAGTGGCACAGGACATGTTGCAAGGGCCTCATGAGCTTTCCTGCTTGCTTCCTCTTTTCCTTGTGCCGTTGGGAACTGTCTCACTTCTGGGGGAGGAGAGGAGGGAAACAGGCTGGGCTTGCAACAGCTCACATGAGCTTCAAGTCACCTCTTCTCTGTTTCTGTAGTATCTTGGCAGCCGGACACCAGAAAAAGTGAAGTCAAAGATCTTGGAGCTGATGTACAGCTGGACGCTGGGGCTGCCTCATGAGGTGAAGATCTTGGAGGCCTACCAAATGCTAAAGAAACAAGGTAAGAGGCAGTGATCTGGAAAGTTTTTCTCCTTATTCGTCCAGGGAGAATCTAAAACAGGCTCTCCATACCCTCTGCCCAGACAAAGCACATCTATAGGTCTGCCAGGTTCCACAGAAAGGGCTGCTGAAGAAATGGGTGCCTTGGAGCTCCTGGATGGGCAGAGAGAGTTGCAGGGGGTCTGAAGTGCTTAATGGGTTGGAAGAAAATATTGCTTGTTCCCTACAGGAGGTGGCGCACTGGAATGGACTGGTGCTGAAGGGATACAAGTGCTTTGGTAGTACTGAGAGCTGGATTTTTCAAAGACAGGACAGTGCTAAAGGGGGGTAATATTTGCATAACAACACAATTTAAGATTATGAATGGCAGAAGCTGACCCTAATCCCCTGTGTTCCAGCTAGGCTTGATGAGCTGTTAGGAAATAATTGACCTAGGTGGTAGTGTGCCTCCTCCCAGTGGGTGAAGCCTCCTGATATCTCTGTTGGTCTCTACTGCAGGTATTGTGAAATCTGACCCAAAACTGCCTGATGATGCTCCTTTTCCACCACCTCCTCCTAGGCCCAAAAACATCATTTTTGATGATGAAGAGAAATCAAAGGTAAGAGGTCTGTGCAGGTAAAGAGCAGAGGGCAACACCTCTGTTCTGAGGTCTCCTGTACTCCGGAGTAGAAGATCCAGTAAGAGTCAAGGCTCCTGCTCTGAATGCT